TACATCCTTGACGGCCAGGAGGGTTTCTCTGCGGCCGTCGAAGGTGTACATGTACATCCTCGACGGCCGGGAGGAATCATCCCGGCCATCGAGGGCTCTTTTTGGCTCGCCGACCCCCAAAACCCACTGGGTTTTGGGGCATCGACTCCGCCCCCCTCCGGGTTTTTGTTTTTTTTATTTAAAATTTTTGAGGATTCAACTCCCAAACCCGCTGACGGGTTTGGGGAATCGACTCCCAATACTCGGGGGATACGGGGGAATTTCGGGGGTTTCGGGGGTTTGGGAGTCGACTCTTCAACTTTTGGGAGTCAATTAACTAAGCCCCTAAAAAAATGTGGGTTTTCTGCTTTTTGAAGTGGTTTTGCAGCAGCACAGCAGACACAGTTTTGGTGTTTGGTCGTGTTTTTTCTATTTAATTTTTTAACACTTTTTTTTTGGAATTTTAAATTTATTGCCTATGTTTCAAAGTGCGTAGAATTTAATGGTAAGAACTATTTTCAATACTGCAATTGGACACTTTTTTCAATTGATTCTTTACAGCTTGTGTCCATTAGTTTTTGAAATTTTGTTTTTTTTTTCCTACACTTTCAGACATGTAGAAAATTATGGTAATAGTCATTTTGCATCAAAACAAAAAATTTTACTTGAATATTGCATTCAAAATGTTTTTTTTTTTGATTAATTCTTACAGGCTTAATTTTCATTATCTTTTGGAATTTCAAATTCATTCCCCACATTTTGAGATGTTTAAAAAGTAGGAAATTAGAGTTGGTAATCAGTATGGATTCTGGCTGGTGTGGCCCGGAGGAGACAGATCTAGTGCCCTCTGGCTGGCTGAGCCGCAGCCAATTCACACCATGTGACCTGGGTCACAACAGCCCGGAGGGGTGACTTGTGTACATGATATCCTTGTAACATGTAAGAGCATCTCCAGTGGTCCGGGGCAACTTGCCTGCGTTCTGCAGGCCACAACCTCATTTCACAGAGGTTGAGGGTCAATTCCAGTTATGGACTGGCAGTTTACCCACCAGTAGATATCCAACTCATCTCATCCCCACTCTGATTCTCCCTCCCACATGTACCACATATCACTTGGAGGCAGACGTTATCCTGCTGTGAATGGACAACAATGACAGTGTCCTTGCATCACAACTTATTTTTTTTGTGTAATCTCTTTCTTTTTCTTGCTATTTTGAATATTTCATCTCTTTATTTTTATCGCTAGTCTTATTTGTTGTATCTCTCTTTTTTCTTTTTTTCTCACTTGCTGGTTGTGTCCTCAGAAGAAAAAAAATTGATTTCTACAACCAAAGAAGTAAAAAAATCATTTCTAAAACCAAAGAAAAAAAACCATCAGAGAGAAAGTAGAGAGAAAAAACATTGGATGAGAGTGTTAAGAATCAAAAAAGCAAGAAGCCAGGTACGCCAGTGCCAATAGTATACCATACATGTGTTGTTTTTGATTGAGCTTTGCTCAGATTACTTGTCATTGTTGCCATCCTCCTCCCTCCTCCTCAGTGGGGGAATGGTGTGGGGTCCTTGTCAGCTTTGGGGGTGGTTTCTTTGGTCAATGGGGTCAAAACATCCACAGTTTTAGAGTTTGACTTTCACTTTTTTTTCAGACAGGTAGGTGTTGGTTTTGGAGTGGGTCTGGTTTGATGAAGGGGGATCAGGTTTGTTTGGTTGGTTGATTTCTTGTTGTTTGGTCCTCTTGTGTGTTGTGTTGTGGAGGAATGGCCTGTGTTGTATGGAGGAATTGAGAGTTGTGTGTGGGAGGTGACTGGCAGAAGTCAGCAGGGAACTGTTGGTTTCACTGCCCCCGGCAATATTTCCAGGGTTGTTTCACAGGTCCATTGGAGCGGAAAACTGACACCCAGTCTGCCAAAGTTTGCCCCCGTATGCCCAATCATGGGTCTGTTGGAGATGCTCTAAGGGTGCTTGACCCACCTACCTGTGAGTGAGAATGGGGTGTACTCTGTGTTATATGTATCTCAACCTGCTGCTCAAGGGTAAGCTTGGCCCTGGAATCCATTCCTGGAGCCATATATGGCATATTCTTATTTTATACACAAGAAAACTATAATTTTTCAAATTGGTTCAGATGGATACTAAGGTTGATATTTGGGCCGGGTGTCCAATAGGCCGCCCAAACCCGGCCGGGCTTGGGTCGGGCGCGGACAGTGCTTTTGTGAAATATTTGGACTTTGGCCCGGCCTGTTAAAGTCACTAAACGGTGTGGGTCGGCGCGGGCTGGTCTAGCGGGTGCCCGCAGGCTTGAATGTTCCGGCAGGATACTGCTATGAGCTGTGACTTGGCATCGGAATCAGCCTTTTCCACTGGTGGTCATGTCTTGGACGACTACCAAAGCCGACTGAACAAAGATACCGCTGAGGCACTCTTGTGCTCTCAGGATTGGATGAAGGCGATGTAGTCCGTTCATCCGCTATGTAGCTCTGTTCTCTTGTTTTTTTTTGTCTCCGCTTCTCCCTCAAGCTTTTGTAGACTGTAGTAAACGTGAAAAACTTCTTTTTTGTGCCTCAAACAACCCAGCCCATGAGCTCCTGGTGGGCTGCCCATGGGTCACCCGCATAGCCCACCGGCCAGTAGCACCAGCGGGGCGCCACTGGACAGCCCGTGTCCGCCACATTGCGGACACGGACTTGGGTCGGACATCAAAATCTCATGTTTTTACCCGGCCCGGCCTGCCCAATTAAGTCGCGGGTAGAGCCAGGCTAGCCTGTGGGCGGCCCAAACCCGCCTGATTATCATCCCTAATGGATACCCATAAAGCATCCCAAACCGTCAAAAAAAATTTGCTGAGTGCATGTGTCTAACTCCAAAGGAGGCCCATGGGTTCCTTTGGACACGTTTTGGGGTTTTCTTTGGCCAAACTGCTTACTACTCTGAAAATCAACACTGTTAAGATTGCGCTCCTTGACCAATTTTATATTGGCCAGGCCTACCAATACATTTTTCCTTTGTTCTAATGTATTGGTGGGTCCAGCTGATAAAAAATTGGTCACTGAGACCAATCTTATATTGGTTGCAGCCTCTGGGCAGCCTTATTGAGGGGTGGTTGTAACCAATACAACCCCATTTGCAGTGCAAAATGTTTGAGAAATGATCTGCAAATATTTCCAAAACGGTGTTTATAATTGGCACCTAGAGTGGACTGATGACATTCCAGTTCAATTCAACTACATATTCCATTTGCAGTTACATGTTTGAAGATGAAACTTGCTTGGAGACAAGTTGGGCTTCCTCCTTAAAGGAGGAAGCCTACATGATCAGAAAATTATGTTCTCATGTTTCCAATGCCAGAAGGTAAAGCACAAAATTACTTTGGAATTTCAATGTATAGAATTGACTTTGGAATATTCAAATACAGAAATCTGTATGTATTTTGAATGGAATATCGGAATCTGTAATTTAAGAAGTGATTTTTTATTTTTCAAAATTGTGAGCCAATTGGAGTCCCCTGTGGGCTTCTGTAGCATGGTCATCATTGTGTTTTCCTTCAATCAGTTATGTATGTACTTCAAGTTCCACTGGCTACCTGATTGTACATTATAATCTGATCATCAGGAAATGTTTGTAGATCCAAATTTCCGCATTGTTTGAGCAAATGAGATAATCTGGCCAGAATCAAGAGCCCCTTTTGAATGATTCTTGCCATCTTACTTCTTGAACTGAGTTTGATTTTTTTTTCCTTTTTGAGGTGATGGTGTGTGTGTGTACCAGGAAAGCTGTATATGGTCTCAGCTGCCTTACGCTATATCCAGAGTGACAAGTTGTAGTACTGAGGTTGAAGATTTCATGATTGTGTTGTTGAGAAAAGCCCGATGTGGGATTTAATTGAATTTGTTGCCACTGTCTGATCAGTCATCAGCTGCTGACTCAGCCCACTGCCATCCAATCTGACACTGCTTTCGTCATCACAGCAAATACAAATTGTACTTTCTCCCCCTAGGTCCCCCTCATCCGCAACCGCAACCTCCTCCTTCCTCTTATCTCGCTCGACCTTCTTGACCATCTCAACCACCCTCCCCCTCCCCCCCTCGTCTGTTGACCACCAAGCCTACCATCTTCTCATCTCATCTCGATCGATTCACACCCACTTATCATCAAATCATCATGCCATCCTCACCCTCATCCTCCAACAACAACCATCAACATCAGCATCAGCAACCCAGGCAGTCCTCATCAGCCACCCTCCCAGCTACCTCGATCGCCTCCTCCGCTTCTGTATTTAGTCGAATGCCACTAGAAGACGTTCTTGAAGATCTTGCCTCTCGATTCATCCTCAACCTACCCATCGTCGAACTCTCTCATATCGAACGGGTCTGCTTTCAGGTCGAACAAGCTCATTGGTTCTACGAAGACTTTGTCAGACCCAACAGTCTACTCAACCTACCCTCTTACCATCTCAAAACATTCACCGGCCTCTTCTTCGAAAAATGCGACTTCCTCACCGTCGACGGAGCCCCGCTGGCCGGTTGGGATCCGTACGCAGCATCGCCTCATCCATTCATTCATTCATCCAAAAGAACATTTTCTCATTTGGTTATCTATTCAACCACCTTCCTGTCTTCTTCCCACCATCACAGGAAAACGGCTTACGAAAAGTTTATGAGATACAAAGAGAGGGTACCCGTATGCGGGGCAATCATGTTTAACGAAGATGCCACTCAAGTCTTACTCGTCCGTGGATTCAAGTCTAACTCATCTTGGTCATTCCCGCGGGGTAAGATTAACGAGAACGAATTACCGAAGGATTGTGCGATCCGAGAAGTTTTAGAGGAGACTGGCTTCAATATCGAACCTTATCTCTCACTCCCCTCATCCTGGAGTGACGATAGCAAACTATCAGCGATTCGCAAGATTCGTCCTACCAATCCTACTCCCAACGGCTCAAACAGTCAATCTCACAAACCTCATCAGAATTGTACTCTTCACTCAGAGGGAGATGACCATTTCATCGAAATCACGATTCGTGAACAGAGATTACGAATGTACTTAGTCACCGGAATACCAAACGATACTAAATTTGTTACCCAAACTCGACAGGAAATAGGCGTAAGCTGGCTTTGTCAACTTCTATGATACCATAAAATACTGAAACTCTTTATCTCCCTTCTCCAGAGAATTGCCTGGATCCCTCTCTCCGACCTCCCTACATTCAGTGCATCCAACGGTACACTCGGGAGCAAACAACTTTCTAAGATGATCAATGTGTCCTGTCCAAGTACGGTTGAATCACAACGTGCCCATGCCAAGTTCTACATGGTTGTACCCTTTGTAAAGTACATCATAGTGCAATCTTCACACCCCCAAAACTAGTAGATCACTGACCGTCGATATTTGGACGTTTAGTGACATGCGCACGTGGCTTACCAATAACCATCTGTTGGCACCCATCGGCCAGTCTTTACCTACACCACGCGAACACCATCAAGCTTATGTCCAGACTAATCATCCACCAACCAATCAGAGCTATGGTGGTAATCCTATCGGCCATCCACCGAGCCACCATATTCGATTTGAAAATGAAGCGGCCGCTGTGCATGAGCGCGTCAGTCGACTTCAGGCTTTCGATTTCTTCCAGGAGGAACCCTCGTCAACCGAACAAGTCAATCAAGACAATCGATTGAACCCCTCAACCAACAGAAAAAAGAACAGGCGGAAGCAACCCCAACAACCACGCAAACCGCCCAAAGAAGCAAATCACCAACGATTAACGGACAATCCTTCATACCATTCTGATCCTCAAACAAGCACTGATGATGAAGATATCACTAAAGTGAATAACGATACTCCATGGAACGATTTGGCAGAAGGCACCAGAGCACTCCAAAACTTTTTCTTTGGCTCCCGAAACGAAGAGCTGGAGGGCGGAGGAGATCGATTCGGACTACTCTCCGATGGTCCAACGGCCCTCTTGGACCTTCATCTTCGTCACGATGCCGCCAATAATGGGGTATCCCCTTTGATCGCTTCTCAGTTACATGCCACCCCTGATCGACTGGTTCACTTTTAGTCTGCGGTCTGCTTCTCATATCCAAGTTCACTTGTCTACACCTACCTACATACAACACTTCAACCCCCCCCCCATTCCTTTTGGCTAACCCCTTTTTTTCTTTCTTCTTGCTGTCCATCTTTTCTTTTCTCACCCCTCCCTTCTCTCTCTCTCTCTCTCTCTCTCTCTGACACACACACACTCTGTACAACTCGATCCGAGAATTTGACTGTTCCTGGTTCCTCATTTCCACACATGTAGTACATCTAGCTGTGATTCTTTTGACTGTATTACAAGATTATTCGCTGGTTATGTAATGTGAAACAGGATCAATTAATCAATCAATCAATCAATCAATGATTACTCACATATGATCAAATTGTACAACTGTAATCTGTAGATATGTATATAGTCTTGCTTTTTTGTTTGTACTTCAATCTTGGAGAGATCAAGAAAGCTGTTGTTGTTGCTTTTGAAAGAATAACAAAAAGAATCGTTGGGTCATTGATACATAGTCTTTTTTTTGTCAGGGTGGCCTCTGGTACTAACTTGACAAATGATCGCCGCTCGGCAAGAACTACAACATAAACTTTGACCCGGAGGAAGACTACGAAGATAGTGATCACAAGAATGTAAGGAAAGCGTGTTACCCAAACGGTCACTCAGCAGTGCTCGCTCTTTCACAGTTCCTCAGCATGGCCAGGCCCATCCTGGTCGGTGCCAACTTGAACACCACGGCTTCACTACCAAGCAGGTCCATATCGATTCAATTCATGGATCCCTTCAAAACAAGACAGTGAAGCTAGCTTGACGAAAACTCACCCTGAGCTTCCGACTTTGTCGCAAGCCATCGAGCACAGAGAGGGCTTATGTTTCAAGTTAGACAGTTAAAGATACTACAGACTACATACACACTACGGGGGTTTGTGACTTCGGTCCAAGCCCTGGTTCACAGTGTTCTGGAAGAAAATAAGAAAATCGCATCTGAATTGTTGTTCTGCTGGTTCGCCAACTCAGACGGTCGCGTCGCGTATCACCAAATTGCGAGTCTGTACAACATCACTACACACTTTTTTGTAAAAAGAAAGGTTACGTCGGGCAGCACGGTCGACCTGTTGGTTGCCTGCTACAACTTTTGGCACATTTTTCATCCGTCAACTCAGACTCCAGCCTTCTAATAGATTGGATCACCTGGACAGGCTTGGACACAATCGGAGAGTAAAATGGTACCAAGGAGTCCGTCGATTGTATGTAGGTACAAACAAGTTTTTTTTCATACATGAAGACGATCTCGGTTACTTGATATTGGAAGATAAGGACAGAAAGAAATGGAGGACAACTGGACGGAAAGTAGAGATCACATTCATCAAATGTCCTTCGTTTGTTTTTGTTTTGTTTTGCTTGGGTGGTCTACTGGTCGCTGAATTCCGGCTGCTCGATTTGAGTGCCGGAGGTCACAAAGACGTTCGAGAAGGAAACGTGTTCTTGTTTGATGGGTTCCTTGAGTAAACATACACACACACAAACATAGAAGAAGTCAGTCAACCTCCTAGATTGATACTTTTTGGTCAGGTTTTAGAGAGAGCGAGACGATCTGTCCGGCTTACTTGGAAGCCGAAGTGGGGCACGTCGAGTCGTTTTTCAGCGGGGATCTTAGCATCAGGGAGAGGGCTATTTTCACGAGAGATGCGAAAAAGTCGAATCAGTCGATGATTTTGATTTTTTTCCGCACGTCGCGGGGTGTTTTTTTTTTTTTTTTTTGGTTGAGGGGGATAGGGACAATGAGAGGGGAAAGAGTGAAGGAAACAAGATGCTGACTATTTGAGCAGTTGGAGGTGGTATTCTCCCTTGTGTTTGAACTCTGGAGAGATCGCCTTGGGATCATTGTACATGGGCCCTACGGCCTTTTTGAGAGGGTCCGTTCCGATTGAAGAATAGACTGTGAGTGTGCTGTGAAAAGCAGAGAAAGATGCGTGTTAAAAAAAAAAACAATGATTGATTGCTTCAAAAGTTATGTTCCAAAGTCTTGCAAGTGTAACAGATTAAACTTGTTGGACTCACTTTTGGATCCAGTCAACAGTCACCGCGAAGTTGTAGTTTTGGTCGTACTTCAGAGGCAGCGACAGGAGCGTCTTGCCCTGGAAGTCTCGGACCCTGATCGTTCGACTGTTGCTCATCGGCTGGTGGTATATGTTCTTGGGGTTGAAGTACGAGCCCCCGAAGATGTCGAAGATGTGGTCGCCTGGTTTTCGGAGCGATATAAGTCAGCTTCACAAGGAAATTCATCCTCTTCTGAAATTGTGAAAAGTGGTCTTACCAGACTACAGGATGAACAAACAAAAAAAAAGATAATAGCAACAAAAAGTAAATCGTTAGGATTGTGTCAAGAGTGTCGGACACGATCAGTAATGGGCCACTTACGGGCACTTCAATACTAGCAAATAGATATCCATGGCTAAGTGCAAGCGGAGCTTTGGAGTCCAATCGAATGGTCTACGCAGGGAGTTGGGTGGATCAGCCATTGCGAGTTATGTAGACCTGCAATGTTCGCTGGCCGCGAGAGGCGGCACGCACGCACTTGGTACCAGGTTGTGACCCCAGTGAGGGTGGTGGTTTTGTCGATCGCTGGATTGACATCCGTTCGTCTGTGGGTAATATCATCAGTTATAAAAAAATCGTGCAAACCAGGAAAAAGGGGGCCGGCGACAAATATCGAAGAACATTTACCTGAACCCGCGTTGGGCATCAGCGGGTTTGCCACCAGGGATAAAGATCGAATCGTCGCGGATAGCCAGTTGGATTTTGGTAGGGCTGGGATGGAGGATTGAGAGATAGGCCGAGGGCTTGGCGGGCCCTTTGACAACATATCCGATCAGCTTGTTCACCGCCGTTTTCGGCACATCCAGGTCGGCGGTCTTCATGTCGGGTGTCAAGGCGAAGTCGAAGAGTCGTTGGACAGCTTTGGCGACCGACTTGCGGGTAGGGGCGGCATATTTGCCCGCTTTCGGGACGCTGTTTCCGGCCGCCAACTCCGTTCGAGCTGGCTCTTCCCCAACACAATGGCTCGCGAAAAGGAGCACGGATAGGAGGAGGATCTGTTGCATCTTGCCTGCTAACATCTTTTGGGAAATAAAAATGATTTGTGCTGAGGTGGGTTATATATTGTAAGGGTCTTGGAGATTCAAGGAAGAGCTTGTCGCTGTAAACGATGCCGCTTAACCAGAAGAATCAATCTATCAAGTGAAACGGTGTGAGAGGTGCTTTGAAGTGATGGATGAGTGATGGCTATAAAACTCCTCATTTATGGACAAACTACGTACAACTATTACTGCCGGACAACTGCCTACAGGAATCAGGATGATTGAGACCAGTGCTGGAGGAACCAAGCCACAAGCCACGGTATCTATTCGTGGTAGTCAGAGACACACATGGCTTCTACATATGTTTTGAGGCCCGCCAAGTTCATGATGCCGTTCTGCTCCATGTCGGCTTCTCAAACTTCTCAAAGAATCAAAGCCTGACAATGGGTGTACATATACGTTCTTACACCCTTGTAACCCACCTCCGGGCCATGTTTCTGATGGTTGATATACAAGTAATTATGTGGTTGGATTAACCTTATGGCCGAGGGATGTGGCCGAGTTATGTATCATATGGGACTCTAATTCACTCCCGTTCAGTTGTTGAATCGATCGTGCTCTTAAATCAGGGTGCAAGTGGCGCCCGGCTGGGTTCTGAGAAATCCAAATACAAGCTGTCTCTCTTCGGTTTCGATTCTGGTGTTGTCTGACCTTCACTTTGTTGTTCGCTGCTTAATATGTACGCGTTTGCTAGCCAAGCCTTGAGGATGGGCAAATATTTTGATTACTTGGTGATTCGTTGTACTATGTACCAACACCATGATTGAGCTGATGATACAGAAGTGTCGTTTTGCCTTGGGGAAGCTAACAGGTGAGCCATTGTTGCTGCCATACAGCAGCTTTTATGAGTCAAGGGCAGAAAAGTTGAATCCAGTACAATTTTTGTGAGGATGTGTAAGGGGAATGGCCCAGCTTTGTCCGGGCCTTTGTAGTCTTCATCAGGCAGGTTCTTGAAGCCGAAAGATGTATTTACATATTTATGTAGTGGAGCTGGAGGGTCTTAATAATAGAAAGATGGAGTACTAGGGGTTTTGTTGAGCAGAAATCTACGACTGGACACCCCCAACCAACAGAGCAAGAACAAGAACAAGTCAGTGCGCAACAAACACAAAACAAACTAAACCAACACACTACAAACACAACTTCAGCCCAATCACCTCACAAATCGAACGATCAAACAGGAACATGTCATCATTCTTTGGAGGACTGTCAGTCTACTCATAAATAACACCTTCTCCTCAACCTCCATCAACTAACACCTCATCATTCATTCATCAGTGCTGGAGGAAAACAGAAAACGGTCATCAAACCACGCAAAGTTAAATCACTCCCATATCCTCATCAACACCAATCGATTCACGTCCAATACTAAAACTCGATCTGTTAAACTTTTTCTTTCCTTTTCCACCGAGCCGATCATAGAATTTACCTGAACATACTAAACAGTATCAACTCAAGAAGTAAAGTCCTCTTCTTTCCTTGCAAACTGAGCTACCTATCAAACAAAATTCACCCGAATACGTACTTCCACAAAAAAAAAAAAAGATATGCAGATGCTACCCTAGGATCGGGAAACCTGAGATCAGCAGTGACTCTTCCGGAAGGAGAAGACTTGAACGAATGGCTGGCGGTCAACAGTGAGTATTCTGAGCGAACAGATGGAGATGGACTAGCTAGAAAAATTGGTTAGATGGACTGATCGATCTGGGATCGCTCTTAGCCCTCGATTTCTATAATCAAATCAATATGCTCTATGGGACGGTGACCGAGTTCTGTACGCCTACCGAATGTCCGGTGATGAATGCTGGCAGTCGGTCCGTCCCTCTCTCAGATCCTATTTGGTCGCTGTCTCCAAACTCTCGTCAACTAATCATCAACTTTTTTTTTCCACTTTAGGTACGAATACCACTGGCATGATGGCAAGGAATTTAAGAAAGCTACTAAGGTCTCTGCTCCGGGTAAGAGGAATCATTCCCTCCTCGGGCTCGTCTTAGCATTCATCTCGAGCTAATTCACGATTATGCGCTTGTTTATACAAGAATATGTGGAGTATCTGATGAATTGGGTTCAGGGATTCTTGGATGATGAGAAGATCTTCCCATCCAAAATTGGTAAGAAAGATTTTTTTCCGTCCACATTCTTCCATCAATAAAGACGCTCAACCCTGGAACGAGAAGCAAGAATGATTTGGTCAATAATTTAATTCAATGTTTTCTTTTGGGATGTGAAAATAGGACAAGAGTTTCCAAAGACGTTCAAGTCGACGATCCAATCGATCGTCCGCAGATTATTCCGAGTCTATGCCCATCTCTACAACCACCATTTCGCCCAGATTTGCGCCTTAGGAATCGAGGCGCATTTGAACACGTCCTATCGTCATTTCTTCTTCTTTATCGACGAGGTTCGTCCATCTCCTTTCTTGACCTTGAATTCACAATTCGACTGATGATGGGTGCTCCGATCGATGTCTGTACGATTTGCTCATAGTTCGATTTGATCAAAAAAGACGAGTTGATACCTTTGGCGGAGTTGAATGCAAGCATCATTTCAGGCGAACTTAATAGCCAACAACAACAGCAACAACCACCCAAATGACCATCTTCTTTCTTCTCACACCCTCGACTTCAATTGTACTGCCTGTAACTCATCAACAACAACTCCAAGAAGAACAGCCCCCTTCCTTTTTTTTCCTTCATCCTCCCTTTTTCCTTTGCAACCCATGATTCACATTCTCGTCTTTTATTTTTTTGGCCTATAATCATCATCATCAGTTTCTTTAATCATGTTGTTGGTTTTTTTTTCTTTTTCTTTTTTTTTGAAGAGGAAGAGATAGTTTTTTTTCCGTTCTTCTTTGTTAGTTATGTGACTTTAATATAAATGGGTAGTTTGTTGTTCTAGATTATTGATTGTTTACTACATGTTAACCAAAATACTTCTTTTTAGAGTTTCATTCAATTTGCTATTTATTGTCCCGTACCTTTTTTTTGGTCTATCATTTGGAGACAGGATTTTGGCTGAGTGATGTTATGACAGTGTCAGACATTCAGTCTGGATCCCTGTGTCATCTATGCAGGTGATTTCCCATTCTCTTTCAGGCTGTTATGAAAGGAAAGAGGGGGGTTGTCTTGGGATGTAACAGGTAGTCACTTGATCAGGATTCAGGATGGCCGAGTGCACCATGGATTGGATTGCTACAATCAAGTGCTGTTATTCTGAATTCATACACTGTCATCATTTGAAAAAGCTACTTGTGACCTATCACTGCGGCACAATTAGCAGCCCTCTACAGCAATCTGAATGGGCCAAGTTCCATCCTGTTCTTGATGGAAAGATGTATAAGGAGCTGTATCAGAGATAGAGAATCAAGAGGGAGTTGTGTGCTACTTGTTGGAAAAGAGCGGATAGAAACACAGGAGTGATGGGGCCTTTAATACTCAGAAAATATCTGTCTTTCCTTCTCATGTTGTGTACATTCCTGAGTCAGGCTGGTCCATACATTTGACGTGATCCAGGCTAGCTAGCTGCTGAAACGGTTTGGTCAAATGGAGCTAGTGAGTGTGAAGACCTCCTGGATTTCTTCCAACTTGTAGATTTTTCCCCTTGTCTCTTCCGACCATTCTTTCATGAAGGTCAATCTTCCCAGAAAAATCACAATCACCTAGGACACAAATCATAGGGATGGAATCATACCCTTGGGGACAGGAGGGAGCCCCTGGGGGGGGGGGGGAGAGTTCAGCAAGTTGAAGGGGCACTTTCCCTTTCGGCAAGTTGTGTAGCAGCTCTGCCAGACCCCATAAGCTCCTGAAACTTGCCAAACTTGGGTTGCAGGCCCTGGTTCAGTGAGTCCACTAGATCTAGATCCTCTAAGAGCCAGTGGGCAACTTCCCGTTGGCATTTACAACCCTTTCAATATTGGATTTACACCATGAAGGTCTTAATGTTTTGCAAAAAAATCTTTCTTCAGAAGCCTTGTAGTGAAGGCCCCCATGTGAGCTAGTTGTGGTTGTGATTAGAGTGTTAATTTAGAACTGAGAGAGGTCCAAAAAACATTCTAAATTGCAAAGGGAAGTCCTCCAGTCTTTGGCCTGAAAGTGAACAATTTCAACACCAGACCTCTCCAATCATTCCCTGCACTTGTGAAGAAGATTCAAAAAAAATGCACATTTTTCAAAATTGAACCCTGTGGTACAGGTCCTATGTTGTTGTTATAACTTAGATCCTTTGCCTGTCATCCTCTTTGAGATCTCATCAGCTTTGCCAACACTTCATCAGATTTCACAAGAATCCACATCAGCAGGGTTCACAATAAGCTTTTTGCTTCCTGGGACTGGCTGATTAACTTGGCTTAATGTTTTCCTCATTTAAGGAGTTCTGAGCTTGATGTGAGCCTCAGATAAAGGCCTCATTTGGTGAAATGATGCGGATTCTTGTGACATCTGATGAAGTTTTGGCAGACATGATCAGATGCCACACAAGGCATTATCTTGCCGTCAAACAGGACCTAAGCTCAGAGTTTCTACTCAGGAACATTCAAGGCTTCCTCCTGAGCTCAGGGAGATCTGAGGGTTCCTGAGCACAAGCTGTAAGCCTCAAATTTCATAGAAACTTTCCTGGATCAGTTAAAAATTTAGCTCAATCTGGGCTAAAAAAATTAAGCCTCAGATCTAGTGCTCACAAATACTGAGAATCTTCCTCACAAAATCTTATTGTGAAACCTGCTATTACGTTGCTCAATTCTATTGGTTTAAGACAAGGCCTTACATGATGTGGAATCAGTTTCCCAATTTCTCACATGATGTGGAATAAGTTTTTCAATTCACATGGAGAAATTTAGATCATGTAAAATAGTGGGGATGAAACACAACGTTTTTGAAATGGAAAAATTGACCCAAAATCAAGGGACTCTAATTTTCAAATTTTGAGGATCAAGAAGATAGGCTTCATAATTATCACATCATGGCAATGCCACTGATCAGCTTGAATTCTCAGCACAATTATTGGTGAAGGTTTCATAGGAACAGTTCTTTGGCTCTTTGGCTCACAGGAATAAGGAATTGAATTGAACTGGGGTTGAAGGGAAGAGTGAATGTACTGTAGGGAAACACATGATCACTTGAAGCAGATTTTAGGGAAAAGGTTTACATGCATCCAATTGCTCACAGTGACAGGCTCTTGGTTATCTCCCCCTGTGGGTTTAATCTCATATTGAGCAGCTTGCTTTTCTTGGCTTCCAATTACTACCAAAACTCCACAATCACCAGGTGTTGAACTGGCCGTGAATGTTACAATTTATTCTTGAAACCGTTGTTCTCTTGAGTATTGTAGCACATCCCCCGCTGCCATCGTAATATTGAGATTCCAAAATCTTCATGAGTCATTTGTTAACTTAGTATATTATCATGCCAACAGATGTTTGCAACTCTTGAGTTGACCCTTAACCAGAAGTCAACCTTAAAATAAAAGTTTATCCGAATTTCACCCTCGTTAGATCATAAATTGCCTTACAGCAGTGCTTCTCGATACACGCGTCAAGATCAGTAGACACACACACACACAGATAGCGCAGATGGGGTGAGGAAACAGTAGTTGGGAACTTGTGATTGTGAAAAAGGGCATACCCAGCTGGACCTGCAAGATGAAGATGTGTTGATGTGTCTAGTGGTCTAGACATTATCGGACACAGCTCACGCGTTTCCCCCGAGAACGGAAATCTATTAACGTGGAGAACTCGATGTGTGTATCGCTTTAAGGATTTGTGATCGACACTAGATGTACTGGGAGTTATCTAAAAAAAAATGAAATGAGAAAAAAAAATGCCCGGCTTGGAGGCTCACCAAAAGAGAGCCTGAGCCAAGAAAATATTGTGTGGCTCAGATTTGAAAGTCTTTGCTTGCTTGAAGGTCCAACAGCTCAGCTTGGAAGATTGCCGGCTCAGCTCTGTGAAGTTCTTCGTTCACTTTGACATCCCCTGTGCTCGCACATCGAAGACTGGTATTATAGAGGAGCTGTTTTCAGCTTGTGTTGAAAGCTTGAAGATTCGTTTAGTCTCCACCATATAACAACAGTCTGTAAGGCTCTTTATGGAATCGAAACTTGATCCTTCGCTTTTCAGTTTTTTAGAGAACAGGACCCTTCATCGGGAAAGAAGCTCATCTTCAGCGTCTCTAATCCCATCTATCTCAAAAACAGCGCCATGGGACAATCTAGTGATGTCCGCTTGGCTCTGAGTTTGTAGATTGGAAAAATATTCACTTCCTTTTTCGGCGAGTTTTTCCGGCCTTAGGCATTACCCTCAAGATGAATGGATGGGCTCACTCAAGATCTCGATTATGATTAATAGATGTGGTGCCATGTCACCGAGTTGGTCTGTGTTTTTTTTTTCACCATTCAACTTGCACTTCTCCCATTCATTTCATCCTCAACAATCAAGGTGATGATGGTCCCCAAAGAAGTGTTATTCCAGCAAAGTGTTTATAAATATAAATCAGCAGAACCAGAAACATTAAAGAGACAAACAATACTCTGAACCAATGAGGCTAGCCAATCCAATCACTGCCTGTCTCTGCAGCTGAGTCGATGAGCTGGTCGTTGCCATGAGACTTTCGGAGGCCTTTTCACGTGTGGCCCCTCAGACACACACACACACACACACACCACACACGGGAAACGGGATATCAGATTTGTATGCATCGCTATTGGGAATACTCCATCCCACTCTGAACTCCGGATGGCAGCTTCAGTAATCACATCTACCACTTGTTAGACCGTTTGAGAGAGGGTCCCGAATGATCTGTAAGCTTCATCGGAAATCGACAAATTCAATCAAATACCGCCCATCGTAAAACCCAGTTTTTTTTCTTCAACCTTTAGCAGTGAGCTCGACTCAGGCTGTGAGGTCTCCGTGATGATGATGATGATGATGATGATGATGATGATAGAGGTGTGAGTAGTATCGATAGTACATAGATTGGGTTGTCGAGAACGGTCGAGAAGAAGAAGCTTAAGGAAGGATTCCTGCTGAGGTGAGATTCCGGCCAGCAAGTAAACTTTACCACCCTGCAAGCATAGCACTGCCCAACGACGAGTGAAAGCACTCAACAAACCTTCTTTCCGTATCTAACCAGCCAGCCAGCGGAAGACTCGACTCTTTTTTTTCATTTTCATTTTTTTTGCACATCGTCTACGTTATAAACGAGGACATAGGCTATATTATGTCGCCACTTCAGCGTCGTGACAAACCTGCTGCAGCTGAAGTTCCAGTTTGTCCGCTATACCGCTGATTTTAGATGCATTGCTTCACCACATCTCTACTCCTATTGTGCTCCTAAGTCTCCAGGGATCTATTCTTGAGAAGTGTTGACGGTTTCTCTCGAGGGATAACCCACCCAGACGACACACAGTTAGGTCAGTTGTTTGTAGATGCTTGTCGTTGTTTTGAGAAGCCAGATGGCTTTAACTTTTTCAGCTTGCACTACTAAGTCCCCACTTCTTGCCTACTCTTGCACACTTTCTACCCTTTTAGGTGTTCTGCTCATCAGCTCATGAGATTTTAAATGTACAACTCAAGTTGGGTTAAACGGCCAAGCTAGAGTTACCTTTCTACCCTGAACACTCATTTGTTATCACCAGCGGGTTTTCTATCCCCGAAAAACACGCATACAGAAAAAAAAAGAAAGAAAAAGAAAAAGAAAAAAGAGGAGGGAGAAAAACCATCAAGAAACTTCTCAACTTCCTACCTTGGCAGAAGAAGTGTACCCTAGACCCTATAACCCCCACTACTCTAGCACTACCAAAGCGATTTTCCAGCGAAGAATAAACAGAACCAAAAAATAATAATAAATCACTATAGCACTAGGGGAATGTCCTTCTCACTTAACAAGATGAACAACCGCTCAGATTACGGCCCATCCTCACGATCCATGATTCCACCTGGACCCCTCAACCTCCCCTCGATCCATTTGCTCTTCCAAATGGCTGATTCTCCGGGCCCAATCCCGCAACCAAGCTCACTCACCTTACCGCCACTTCGATTCAGCCAAGCCTGTACTTCCCACAGGCCCTTCCTCTCGCGCAGTCCCTCCAGTCCTTCCTCCGCCTCCTCCACACGTGGCTCTTCTTCTTCTACTCCCGGCTCTTCCCCACACTCTCAGGAGCTCCCTAGGCCGCCTGCGAAACGAAAACAAGTCAAACGGGCTTGCCAAAATTGTCAAAAGGTTCTTGTTTTTTTTTTTTTTTTTTTTTTTTTTCTTCTCTAGCATATCCATCTTAATGTTATCTGTCCAATTATTCCCTTCCGGGGATAAGCCAAACGGGAAGCTCAGAATGATTTACGTTCATGAGGATATTGAATGTTGTTGTCTTTTCGTCACAGGCTTGCAAAGGCTGCGCCGATACCCGACCATGTCCGAGATGCATTATTCACGGGATCACTGAAAGTTGCGTTGACGCGCCGAGGAAATCCGAACGAAAGCAGAAATGCCCGTAGAGAGATGATGGGTGAGTAATGCCAAATGAATAATGAATGTGAATTAATCGAATTGATATCCTGATTGTACGTGCCATTGGTTCAAAACTTCAGAAGTACTAGGTTTATGAAGGGGGGGGGGACTAATCTATCGGCTCTTTGCCTCCATAACCATGGCGTTGGATTCATCAGTCTCAAGAAACCAACGATTTGGCGGCCTTCAAAGCGACATTATAGTTCTTACGATCGACCATTTTTGAACCGTTTTTATTATTATTTAGTTTTAGTTTTTATCTTGGCTTTTTGCAGTCGGCTCTTAAGGAGAAGCGATTTTCTAAGGGTCACATTCTAGTTACCGGCTCTGGAGCAACACATACCTTTGATCCATTGCTTCGATCACTCTCGAGGAGAAACATTATTGAATATTCTTATAATGACCTAAAGACGTCTCTACTCATCCATCTTAAATATCACATTATATGCTTGTTATCCGTTATTATGTACTGTCGACAGTCTGCTATGATACTCTTATAAATATGTACCAGTTGGTTCAGTGTTAAAGATGAGCTGAGGGATCCCGATATTCTTTCAGCTTGAATACATTATCAGTCAAACTACTACTTATCAATATCCACACCAAGAATCGATTACACTTGTATTACCGACATCAAAATGCCAATATTTTTAATTTTCTTTCAGCAAACCGTGCAATTCACTGCAAAAAAAAGTGAAAACTTGACCATTGGGCTGCGGCAGACCAATACCGCTTTCAAGAACGAGGTGCAAGTTTATCAGATGGGCATAGGGGCTGATTGATTGAGGGCGGCGATTATATTTGGTTGGTACAGCGCGCAAGGTAAATCCGGGCTGCATTAAGGAGCCAAAGTTGGTTCAGGGGTTTCATGGAAACCGGATAGACGTATATAAACCCTTAACAAAATTCTCAGACCATTTCTGGTTTCTATCAACGGTCATCAGGAATCAGCGTCGGATTGGGTGTCATCATCCAGGCAAACACGCCTTTGAAAGTCGGCGCTTCGGGCTGGATGGAAGTTTGCCCAATCAACTCAAAATCGTCTCCTTCTGTACACCGCGTCTTGCTGGCACGCTTTCAGAAAGAAAAAAAAAATGACTGGCTGTACATATAATTGTTTCCCGGGGGATATTTGAGCTCGAAAACAATCACAGATCTATGCCCGAGTTCTGGCAAGCTTGACTGATTTGATTCCTCAACTGTTAACATATTCTTATATCCTGATCGTGAGGTCACAAGTAGAAATAACAATAGATTCATCGACCAGGTATGGAAAGATGTACACCAGTTGATCCCAGTTTAGAAGTCTGCTTGACTGCATCCTGCTTCATTGATGGGCTAACTTTGTGACTTACTTGTGGCAAGCCAACTGATAGGATTGGCCAAGAGCATCATTTGGCCATCTGACAATAGGGGTGCTGACAATTGAAGTCAAAATAAGCCCATAAAATCAGGAAAATTTTATCTTCATGATTTTGTGGATGTGTTTTTACAATTTTCTCCTTCATAGATATGTTCTTTTGGATCCCAATTCTGTGATTCAAGTCTGACACATGGTTCATCCACAAAAATGTTTCTTGAACCAAACTGTACCCTTGTCTTGCAGACAATTTCATTCTGACTCCTAATTACTGTCTATTCTCCCTGACTGAAAGCTGATTTCAATATATAAAAACCTTAAGGGCTGTATGTTGTGTGTAAGTGTGATGGATATATTTTGTTTCTGCACATGATCTACCCTTTTTCCTAATTAGATGGCTTCCTGTTATGATCATCATTACTGTGTTTGCCGGAGAAAAATGAAAAGTTCTTGAATTTATCACACAAAGACTCCAGAGATGACCAAAAGGCATTCAGCAATGTAATCCACAGCTAACATAAGCCCCCAAAGTCTGCAACTGGAACCATCATCTTCATAAATTTACCAGATCAGATGTTACACAGGATATGGCGTTCACACAGATTTCAGGGATCAGGCTCAATCAATGGGAGGATTTATTTCACATCAGATTGAATCATTCATTTACTCCAATATAAATAACACAAGTTGATGTTGAATTATATGCTTATAGCAAGATTATAAGATATGCTTCAACCAAATCATTAGACAAATCTTGTATGTAGCTCTCCTACAGATTAGTCTAGTCTTCCTTCTCCAGAGAATCAGGGCCATTAACTTTATTTCTCACTCCTCAAGTGTCACAGACAATCTGTCTGGGGACTTGAGATACTGTCTCCCCTGGTCATCTCAAAAGTTGACAACAGTAATATGTAAAATTTAGAAATAAGATACATTCCCTCATTTGATGCGTCAAGAAAGATACAATGAAGATACCTCATCAGATATTATACATTCATTCCCAGCAAGTTTGTCATGTTTCAAAGGATTTGGCAACTAAAAGCTACTGGTAGGCTTTTCCACCAAACATGGAATCTGGGAGGCTCCTCAATTAAGGCTATTCTCACAAATTTTGATTGGTTTTCTGGTCTGCTACCTGAAATTCTGTGGATAGTGTTTTCACTAACTTAATTACACAAGTCCCTTGATTACTTACTTGCAAAAAATTTATCCCAGACCTAAGCACAGGGACTGAGCCCACATGTGAGTTGGTGCTCTAGCCCATCTTGTTTTGAGGTCTTTTTCTGAGCCATTGCATGAAGCAACTCAAATGTTGAAAGTGGTCACTAGGTATGGCTGAGGCAAAGATGTACCTGCATTGTCCCCTCTTTTCTCACCAATTCCAATCTCCCAAAAAATTGTCTCCTTCTTTTAAATATTTGAATGAGTTATATTTCCCATTTCTATGTAAATTACTCAAAAAAGCAACATGGTGTTTGAATGTTGTTTTGATGCCACATAAGCATCACTGAGATGTTAGTAAAACAAATTTTCTTTAAATGGAGGGGATGTCATGTAAGATGAAGGTTGTAGATAAAAAAGAAGCAAAAAAAATGGGGTTTTGGACCATTTGATCAATATATCAGTAACTCTTGCTCTGGCCCAAGTCCCCCCACTATGCTCTGGGAAACTGTGGGCCAGCTACACTGACTGTAGTGTTATTGTAGCTTGAAACAGCAGAAGTTGGCTAAAATTTAGCGTAGTGTAGCAGAATTTTGCTGTGTCTGCGCTAAACCTACTCGTGTAGGCCCCCAAAAAGTGCCTGCTACGCTGCACTAACACTGTTGAATCTTCACTGTTGTGTAGAGATCGTTCCACGGTACTCCTTGCTAGGTACCTAGTACGCCTTGGGGGGTACCTCCAGCACCCGCTGCGCACCTGCCAGGAGGTGCCAGGTGTCTGTTTTTGGTAAAAAAAAAACAGGAGGTATTACGGGTACCACCCCACTTCCCTAACATAGGGTGGGTGGGAGGGCTGCATATTTTATCTTAATAAATATGAAGAAATCGAAAAAATTGACTATACACTTTCAACAGCACTGGATATGCAGTAAAAAAACTGGATATGCAATATTTTTTCCTTTTTTTTGTTAAAATAGGGTGAAGAAGTAAAAAAAAACAGCACATCCAGTTTCATTTTACCACATATGTAGTACAGGATATGAAGTAATGTTGAGATAGCTAGTCGAACTAAGTGAAAAAGAGAGGGGCAGTACCTGCCACAAGTACCACCGGTGTGGTAGTCAAAAATGTGAAGAATTAAAAGTTTTTTCTTTCTTTTCTTATACATATATTTTCTTCATATTATCACCCAATCTCTCTCAGAAATCACACCATACGGCTCAAGAACTGGACTCTACGGATAAATTCACCCTTGGTCACCACGCAGGCGTCACTGGAACACACCTGGATCAACTCTTACCCAACAATGGACAACATATCACAAGGATTTCACTCATCACTACACATCACCAATCCCAATTACAACCCTCAAGCTACACAGACACCCTCAGTACAGTACACACTCATTTACATACATCTACACTCTTTACATTTCACTTCTACATATTACATCATACCTGCAGCCTAAATTAGTGTATTTTCTATGCATGACAGCTGCAGCTTACACCACCACACTCACTTGTAAACACATCAGAACCTGACCAATCAGAATCACTCATTCAGCTGCTTGGATCACCACTTCAACTCTTGTACATGTCTGACCAATCACATTCACTCATTCAAATTTTGTATGTAGCTAAAATACCTCATGTAATAGCCCAGGCCAGCCAAAATCACTCATTACTGGCTGCCCTGGAGCTAAATTCCCTCACTATTTTCTATATAAGGAGGCTCTCCTCCCAGTTGTTGTCTCCTCAGGGTATTATTCATCAGTCACAAGTTTAGTACCACTCAATCACAGATACACCACCTTTACAAAACCTTACCAAACACCAATAACAACAACTCATTTCTCAGCATCACACAAACTCATTCCTGAACTTACCCTATCACTTGATTAAAACTTGCCAAGCTGAGCTTGGTGGGTCTTGTTATCTGATAGTATAGAAGGGCAGAGCTTGCACCTCCATCATCCCCTTCTCCATTCAGCAAAAAGGGTCTTACAACCACTTTTTGAGTCTTACAAGGGAGTCCCCAACGTGATAGGATAAACTTGTGTGATCTACATCAAGTAATCGAATTTCAACAAATAACCAGAAGGAATCGTCAAAGGATCACTAACTTCAGCGGGAACCGGATCAAATTTATCAACCATATTTGCGACTACTCAGCGGCATATTCAGTTATTCTGTTGATCAACTAGTCAAACTTCAACAAACAATTCAACGACACCACCAACCAACCTCTGAAAAGAAAGTGTAGGAATCGACTGAGACGAGGACTCGAAGAAGACAGCCAGTTATTAACCAGAAGAAGGAAGATTATCGAAGGATCTGGATAACTAGGATACTGTTCAACGACAACTCAGGAAATATTCGAAAAAAGCATCTGCTTATAGACCAAAAGAAGGGCAAAGGTACCCAAAGGATTTGGATAAGTAGATCCTGTAAAAGAAGAAATTCCCAGT